TCTGACATCTGTTCCACTGCCTTTTCAGCTACTCCGTAGCTGCCACTTATGGGTAGTGTTCTGTGTGGATACAATGCCCTTCATGTATCAAAATGTCACATGCACTCGCACGTGTTAATTTGTTAATTCATTCAACAAATATTTAAGAGACACATCATGAAGAAGTGTCTAAGAGGGAGCACACACTGCAGTAAAACCCAGACATAGGAGGAAGCGTGGAGGACAGTGGGCATAAGGAATAACTGCAAATGGGTATGGAGATTTTTAGGATGTTGAAACTGTTCTACAGTAGATTGTGGTGATGGACATGAAACTGTTGGAGTATACTACAAATGATTAGACTGTATACTTTAAATGAATGATATTTATAATATGTAAATTATATCTCAATAAACCTGCTACAAAATTAAAAATAAATATACCAAAAAAGGATATACTCCATAAAAGATTAAAATAGAAATAGGCATATGTCATATGAGTCTTTACATTAAAATAGAATACAGTGCAGGATTATGGTATTATAGTTTGATTTTGGTACATGCCACAATACATAATTATAAACATAAGAACAAAACAAACAAAAAACCCCAGGTGTGGCCAGATGCAAAGGTTCGTGCCTAGAATCCCAACACTTGGGGAGGTAGAGGCAGGAGGATGACTTGAGCCCAGGAGTTTGAGCCCAGCTGGGCAACATAGCAAGACTCTGTCTCCACAAAATAAAAAACATTAGCCAGGTGTGGTGGTGCATGCCTGTAGTCCCAGCTTCTCAGGAGGCAGAGGCGGGAGGATTGCCTCAGCTAGAGAGGTCGAAGCTGCAGTGAGCCATGCTCATGCCACTGTACTCCAGCCTGGGTGACAAAGCGGAATCTCTCTCTCTCTCTCTCTCTCTCTCAAAAAAGGGGGGATTCCTATTTCTTTCCTGTGTAACTCCCACAGCTGTTATGTTAGGCTCAAAATTAGGTTTGCTGTGCAGGTGTGGTGGCTCATGCTGCGATCCCAGCATTCTGGGAAGACTGGGCAGAAGGATCACTTGAGGACAGGAGTTTGAGACTAGCTGGGGGAACACAGCAAGACTCAGACTCTACAAAATAAATAAATAAATTTTTAAAAAATTACGTTTGCTAGGACACCTTTTCCCATACCAGTAGGATGGATTTAACAAGAAAGCATTGAGCACCTCTGAGTTCTAGTTTTGTCCTAAGTGCTTTACAAAGAAAACCAACTGTAAAGCATACTTAGGCTTCCTTTCCAAACTTTAAGTTCATTTCTCCATGGACTGAGAAGCAGAGTCTGAATACATAGAAATATATACAAGTTTTGACGTAGATGGGAACCGAATAGAGTTCCCTCTTAATTGGAAAAGTTCCCACTGGTTCATGATTCCAACAAATCAATGGTATATTTCAGCAACTGAGGTTAAAGTTAGTCCCTTATTCCTACTTGAACTCAAATTGGTGCTGGATTTGCTTCTTTCCTTGAGTAAGAGCTGGAAGAATTAAAGCCTTTCATCTCTTTCCCAGCTTTACAGAATTCGAGGAGCCTAAAGTAAAGCATCCCATAACGTCAGTAAACACGAAGGAATTTTAACATTAGAATTTGCTTTTAGAAAAAGAGGCAAAAGCCAAGTAAGTCGATACTAGGAACTCACTTTGAAGACGCTCTGAAAGTCCCAGCACAGACTCTGCGCCATCCGATAACCTTCTACACTGACCGCATAGGATAAACTGGAACAGTATGAGAAGGATGAGACCGAGACACTGAAAGATCTGGATGTGCTTTCCAAATCATTACAAAACGTGAATCTCAATAGACATACACTTACTAAATGACGCACAAAGATTACACTAAAAACATGTTTTCAAGAAAGTTGAAAACCAGGTTATCTGCTGTTTGCACAAAATTATTCTGCATATAAATATTCTGTTTCACCCGTTTCAGTTAATCTAGTTACAACATATGACTAAAGTCCATTAAGCAGTCAGTGTCCCTCAAGATTCGACAAATTAGATTGTTTCTGTGGACACTTTAAGTTTATAACTTCATAGTTCATTGATTGAAGTTATAGCTGTTTGTCTATATTAGGGTTTATTAGGACAAACACTCTTTGCTGACTTTGGAAATGCTTATTTTTTCTGTGCTTAATCATCTCTAAGGAACAAACACTAAACCGTATAAATAAAAATCCTCCTCACCATTTCAATAGGCTAAAAACCCTTAATACGACACAAATAAGGGTAAGGGTTTATGTTGGAAACGTGAATCAAAGATGAGCTCAGATACTTATAATTTGAAAGCTGCATCCCCTTACAGCTACTTTTGAAAGTACTTAGCATGCGAAAATAACCAATGCTCACTAAGCAAGAGGTGTTAACATTTGTATACATTATCTCTGGAGATACCCCAGTATCCAATTACATGCACCCCATCTACCTGTCACTTCACCTTCTATTTCACAGACGACAAGGTGCAGGTAGAGATGATGCAATCTAACATCACACTGCTAGTAAATGCCAGAGCCAGGATTACAAGGACTCTTAAACCTCGATGTGGATGTAAATTGCCTGGGGCATCTTGATAAAATGGAGTAGTGCTGGGGTGGGGCCTGAGAGTCTATATTCCAGACATGTCAATGTCCCTGATCCACAGACCTTCCTTTGAGTAGTAAGATCATTACAGGATTCAGTAAAGAATGCCTAGATGTTCCTCCATCCCGTTTGTTTTAGATTATTGGCATACATAGTCTTATTGTGCTTGGCAAAAACATGTTTTTCTTTTTATGTGAAGTTTTGAGGCAACTATGCACCAACCACATCTACCAGTGCCATTTTTTCCTACAGTATGTGCTCAGTTCATGTCTCTGTCACATTTAGCAAGACATGTCAGACACTGCAACACTGATGTGCCAATATTGCAAGAACAATGAAGTTTTTTTCATTATTATACTAACATGGTGCTCAGTGAGCTTTGAGGTTGCTACTGTAATCATTTTGGGGACACACTACGCCCATATAAGATGGAAAACTTAACTGATGAATGCTGTGTTCTGACGGCTCCACCGACCGGCTGTTCTACTGTCTCTCGACCTCTCTGAGTTTCCCTATTCCCTGAGACACAGCAATAGTGAAATTAGGCCAATTAATAACCTTGCAATGCCCTCTAAGCATTCATCTGAAAGGAAGAGTCACATATTTGTCACTTTAAATCAAAAGCTAGAAATGATTAAGCTTAGGAAGAAAGGCATCAAAAGCCAAGAGAGGCCGGGCACGGTGGCTCAAGCCTGTAATCCCAGTACTTTGGGAGGCCGAGGTGGGTGGATCACGAGGTCAAGAGATCGAGACCATCCTGGTCAACATGGTGAAACCCCCGTCTCTACTAAAAATACAAAAAAAAAAAATAGCTGGGCGTGGTGGTGCGCGCCTGTAATCCCAGCTACTCGGGAGGCTGAGGCAGGAGAATTGCCTGAACCCAGGAGGCGGAGGTAGCGATGAGCCAAGATCGCGCCATTGCACTCCAGCCTGGGTAACTAGAGCGAAACTCCGTCTCAAAAAAAAAAAAAAAAAGGCCAAGAGAGAGTGAAGCTAAGTGTCTTAAGGAAATTAAAAGTTCACACCAGTGAGTACAAAATATGAAGAAATTGAAACAGTCTTATTACTGTTAGGGACAAAGTTTTAGTGGTCTGAATATAAGATTAAACCAGCTACAACTTTCCTTAAGCCAAAGCTTAATCTACAGCAAGAGCCTAATTCTCTTCAATTCTATGCAGGCTGAAAGGTGACAAAGCTACAGAAGAAAAGTCTGACACTAGCAGAGGTCTAAGGAAGAAAGCTGTCTCCGTAACATAAAAGTGCAAAGTGAAAAAGTAAGAACAGATGCAGAAGCTGTAGGCAAGTTATCCAGAGATCGAGCTAGCTGATGAGGGCGGCTACACTACGAAATAGATTTTCAAAGTAGACAATACAGCCTTCTATTGGGAGAAGATACCTCTAGGACTTTCATAGCCAGAGAGAAGTTAATACCTGGCTTCAAAGCTTCAAAGGAAAGTCTTGCTTATTAGGGGCTAATGGAGCTGGTGACTGTAAGTTGAAGCCAGTGCTCATTTGCCATTCCAGAAATCCTATGGCCCTCAATAATTATCCTAAATCTACTCTACCTGTGCTCTAGAAATGGAACAACAGAGCCCGGATGACAGCCTACCTGTTTAACAGCATGTTTTACTGAATATTTTAAGCCATTGTTGAGATCTACCTCTTAGAAAAGAAGGGTTCTTTAAACATATTACTGTCCATTGGTAATGCACTTAACCTGGTCACTCAAGGTCTCTGATGGAGATTTACAAGATGAAATTTTCATGCCTGTTACCACAACATCCATTCTACAGTCCATGGATCAAGGACTGATTTCAACTTTCCAGTCCTATTACTAATGAAATACGTTTTTTGTAAGGCTATAGCTCTCCTAGATAGTAATTCCTCTGATGGATCTGGACAAAGTCAATTGAAAATCTTCCATAAAAGACCATTCTAGATGCCGTTGAGAACATTCGTGATTCACAGGAGGAGGTAAACATATCAACCTTAATAGGAGTTTGGAAGTAGATTCCAACCGTTATGGATGACTTTGAGGAGTTCAAGACTTCCATGCAAAAAGTAACTGCAGATGTGGATGAAATAGCAAGAGAACTTGAATTAGAAGTGGAGCCTGAAGATGTGACTGAATTGCTGCAATCTCATGATAAAATTTTAATGCATAAGGAGCTGCTTCTTATGGGTGAGCCAAGGAAGTGGTTTCCTGAGATGGAATCTATTGGTGAAGATGCTCTGAACACTGTCGAATGTTCAGGAATGACGACAAGGGTTTAGAAGATTTCACAAACTTGGTAAAGCACTGGCAGGGTTTGAGAGGACTGACTCCAATTTTTAAAGAAGTTCTAATGTGAATAAAATGCTATAAGACAGCATTTCATGCTAGAGAAATCTTCCGTGAAAGTAACAGTCAATGGATGTGGAAAACTTAATAGCTGGTTGATTTTAAGAAATTGCCATAGTCACTCCAAGCTTTAGTAGCCACCACCTGGAATAGCCATCAACAAGGTAAGACCCTCTACCAGCAAAAAGATTACGACTTGCTGAAGGCTCAAATGATCGTTAGCATTTTTTCACAATAAGGAATTTTTAAATTAAGGTATGTAAACTGGCTTTTAAAAAACATAATGCTATTGCACACTACAAACGTAAGTTTTATATGCACTGAGAAATTAAAACTCTGGTGACTTGCTTTATTGCAATATTCACTTTACTGCAGTTATTTGAAATGGAACATACTGTACTCCAAGCTATGCCTGTATTTGCACACATGGTGACAGGGATTCAAGATACTAAGAGCTTCAGTTCAGTGTCCCAAGTTATGCCAGGGATTTTGTTTGAGGCAAAACTGTGATCATGTGTCACTGACTTACTCTGTGAAGTGGCATTTGATGTATCTGTAGTAAGGCATTTCTTTCACTATGTTGCAATTTATTTCCACTTAGCTGGAATATCTCTTTTATAATTTTATGTTTCCAGCACCAAGCAGATAGGCCAAAAGTTTAATACAGAAAGCTGAGCACCAACTCTTATTCTCTTCCTCCTGGGCCCGCAGACTACATTTTCTGTCCTCCTAACCTTGCACGTATGTGTAGCCCAGTGACTGATTCTACATAATGGCATTTGAATGTAAGTGGTATGTGCCACCTCCAGGTCTGGCATATAAAAACGTTGTGGGCAGGTCCTCCATGCTGTTTTCCCATCTGCCAGCTTGAAGCAGAAAAGCACGAATCCTTTGGGAGCCACATGTTGAAGCTGGCAGAGCCCCAATATTGAAGATGCTTAGGTCTCTGAATCAGGACTTGGAGAAGAGCTGCTTGCTCATCAAGAACATCTGTTTAGGTTTTATGTGAAAAATACATTTCTATTGTGGTGAAGCCATTATGCATTTTCAGACGGTTTGTTATAGCAGCTAATATTATTTTAGCATATAGATTCTTAGTAATGATTTGTTGAATGAGTGGAAGAAGTATAGAGTTCTCTGTATTGTGATCTTGCCCATTTCATGCAGGAACGAGCTAGAATTTCTATGCTAGCAAATTAATGTCAGAAAAATGAGCTCATAGGTAAAAATGCATTTTCTCCTGTAACGGCCTCCATAATTTTATTATGAAGCTTACCTTGGCATGCTTTTGGCACTTGATAGGGTATGACTGTCAAAGTCTGTGCCGTTTTCTAGGTGGCGTAAGTTCATCACATTCAGGTGAACATTTTCTTAGTGTTATCTGGTTGCCCAAGAAGTGGTTCTAAATGCTACTTTCCTGTTTAACTTTGCCCAAAGGAGGAATTTCTACTTAAGGGATGAGACAGTAAATGAGCATTTGTATAAAAACAAAAATCCAAATGTTTAAATTTAACATTAAACCCACCTCAAAATATTTTCATAGTCCCAGAATGATGACTGCTAACCTCTGCTGCTAGGCCCCAAACTCTGGTCCTCCCCTGGAACTTGGCTAAGCAAATGTCATCTAAACAAAACATAAATAATGAATTTTTTAAAAAAACCCTTCTTTAGAGGACATAAGGGAAAATGTTAAAGTCTAACAGCTGTGCAGATGTAGTTATCAACCAAACAGCTCAAGCTATCAGTGGCAAAGTCACCCTGAAATGACCTAGAATCTACATGATTTGGCTCTTAGTCCAACCTGCTTTCACTAGCTTGAGCCTCCATTTCATTTGTAAAATAAGAGGTTTCAGTGTAATAAATAAATTTCCTAATAAATTTTAACACCTAATTTACTATTGGAAATAAAATTGATAGATAACATAACCTACCTATTTAAAAATACATTTTATAATTTATATTATTTCAAAATGTAAATGTCAGACACATCTAAACTAGAAAACATAAAGAAATAGTCAAATGCCTTATAAACCTACTAATAAAAAATAAGTTTGGATTTTAAAGAAGCAAAAGACTAGAGGTCATTCTATTCAAGAAGTAAAAGAAAAGTTATATAAAAATGTCTTTGTATTCAGTAAGAGAAAGGAACTTAACTTTAAGTAGGCTTCTAACTCAAGTCAAATAACATGGTTGAAATGAAGAAAATTAGGAAGACTGGGCTATATCTATAAATGTTATACCAGAACAATTTTCTTTTCCTTTTGGAGACAGTCTCGCTCTGTCACCCAGGCTGGAGTGCAGTGATGCGATCTCAGCTCACTGCAACCTCCACCTCCCAGGTTCAAGTGATTTTCCTGCCTCCGTCTCCTGAGTAGCTGGGACTACAGGTGCATGTCACAATGCCTGGCTAAATTCTGTAGTTTTTTGTTTTTGTTTTTTTAGCAGAGACGGCGTTTCACTATGTTGGCCAGGCTGGTCTCAAACTTTTGACCTCAGGTGATCCATCCGCCTTAGCCTCCCAAAATGCTGGGATTACAGGCGCAAGCCATTGCATCCAGAGGAGCAATTTTCTTATGGTGTGATACGTAGAGGCAGTTATGAAGTATTACAGAATCTTGATATATTCTACCTTGATAACCCACACATATGGAGAGAAATTAATTCAGTAAACTTAAAACTCTCAAGATGTAGAAAAGAGGCTGCAATGGAAAGAATCAGTAATTTCCACAACATAAACCATAATTATTGTGTTATCTAGGATTCAATAAGGGAAATATTTTAAAAATAATCTTAATTAACAAAATGCAGTAACAGCCTCACATTTCCTGTGTCTCCATTACTTTAATAATTTGTGCAAATTTATGTTTCAGTAAGTAGAGAAAATTTTTAATTTTGATACCTATCATCTTTGTTAATAGTTACCAGATTAGTTTCTTTTGCAACTCTCTCCTAGTATTTTCTCCCATTACCCAAAGAGAGATAAAGCAAAACAAACAAAAATTCAGCCTATAGTATGTTTCTTCATTTTTCAGAACTGCAGTTTATCTTAGAAAACTAAGAAAAAAGACTGACTAGAAACTGTTTTAAAGTTTTGAAAGATGTTTTACATATGAACATTAAGATGTTTGTACATGGCCGGGCGCGGTGGCTCAAGCCTGTAATCCCAGCACTTTGGGAGGCCGAGGCGGGTGGATCACGAGGTCAAGAGATGGAGACCATCCTGCTCAACATGGTGAAACCCCGTCTCTACTAAAAATACAAAAAATTAGCTGGGCACGGTGGCGCGCGCCTGTAATCCCAGCTACTCAGGAGGCTGAGGCAGGAGAATTGCCTGAACCCAGGAGGCGGAGGTTGTGGTGAGCCGAGATCGCGCCATTGCACTCCAGCCAGGGTAACAAGAGCGAAACTCCGTCTCAAAAAAAAAAAAAAAAAAAAAAAAAGATGTTTGTACACGACTTCACACAAACTGGCATGGAACATCAGAATAATACTGATTGGGGGGAATGCTTCTTTGGCAAAAAGGCTGTATGGCAATTCAGGGAGAATCTCGTGTTACTAGTTACTGAACATAAATATGCAAGAGATTAATAATGCCAATATTAGGACCACTAAGCCCAATGGTCCTAATATTCCTTCTCTGCAGCACAATCTGGCACGACTGCCTTTAAATGAAATCTGTATTTATTTCATGCCGATTTGAAATCAGCACATCGTACAATCTTTAAAAGGAAATTTAGCTATTTTACCCTCTATAGAATCATTAATTTGATAATAAATATTTTTGAGAAAATATAGGACAAAAAACTTTTTAAATAAGTAATTTACACTGATATTCTATATTTAAACTATTTTTTATAAAAGCATGAGCTTTGGAGTCAGATTTGTATTTGAATCCTGATTCTACCACTCAATATGGAATATATATATATATATATATATATATGGAATATATATATATATATATATATGGAATATATATATATGGAATATATATTATAAACACTACTATGCCTGCTTTATGTACATTATTGCATTTGTTCCTTCTAATAATTCAATTATTATTATCCCCAGTGAATACAGGAAAACACTGAGGTTCAGAAAAGGCTGAGAAACAGGCCCAATGTCTGAGTGTGTCAGGAGCCGAAGTGCCTACTATGTTACTGACCACTAAACGGTTGCTTCTTAAACTGGGGTCCAGGAGAAATTCTTGTGGAGTGTGTATGTGTCAGGAGTAGGAAAGTGTGAGAATTAAGCATTATTCATGTTGATGAAACGTTTTTAAATAATTAATATTCATGTGATGAACGATTTGGATAACTACTAAAACCAAATATTGGCAGAACCATTTCAGCGCTTAGTTCTGCATTTGTATTTACTTCCTTTTTAAGGGCCTGTTATACATTAGTCGGGGAAGGCTTATGGAGAACAGAGGCTGTTTTAATAGGGGAAGGGTGCATTCAGGCTAGAAGAGAACCAAATAACATCGCTGTGTGCTGAACGAATTAAACCGTCTGAAGAGAAAAAAACAGGGTGAACTGGGTCACCACACAGCAGCACATGCCTGCTGAACTGAAGAGAGCCTGTACTGCAGCCCTCAGTACCATCAACACAGTTTAAGTGATGACTTCATTTTGTCAATACATCACCATCCATCATATTTAATACTATTTTACATTTTAGTAGTTTCATAGTTTTGCTTGTGTCAACCTGTAAACTTGTTCTGGTTTTATACTTGTGTAAGACCTACAAACATAAAGCATTTATATCTAGTTTTACGTATATATTATTTAGGTAACATTATAATAAATATGTTAACCAAAAACTGAGGGGCTAAGAGACTTTTTCCTTATTAAAAAATGATGCACATTATTCAGGTTTGAGAAAACTGGTCTACACAGTCCTGCTTGGGAGTGTGGTCTTCAGCAGGCCACTTAACTTCTATTACCACCAACCTCACAGGATTTCTAAGAGGATTAGAAGAGATGATGAATATTGTAGGGCCTGGACCACAGAAAGGATTACAATGATAGTTCTGTCTCCTTCCCTTCAAAGAGAAAATCTGGAAGCTAAATGCAGTCTATGCTCTTTTACTCTAACTGTGGTCTGGAGACCAGGAGAATTGATAACACCTAAGAGCTCGTTGCAAACTGATCATTCCAGAAGCCGCCCCAGAACTACTGAATTGAAATCTCCATTTAATAATATTCCCAGCTGATTTGATACATGCACATGTAAGTTTGGGAAGCACTAGTCCAGGTCTCCATAGAGAATGCTGACAATAAAATTCACGGTTTTAAACTACTCTTTAGGTTAACTCTGGTAATTAGAGAAAGGCCTGATGTAAATGGTGAAAAAATAATGTCTCATCCTGGGGTTCAATATAAACATTATTATTTCACTACTGATTCTTTATAGGCTATATTCGTGTAGCTAAGACCCTCTTTAAAATGGATCTAACTTCTAATTCAGAATCAGCCAAAAATATTTTAAAATGCAAAGTTTTCCTAAATGCTTTCTGAATTTTCAATAAACAAATTGTAAGCATTAGGTTTCCTTTGCCCAATAGCAATTAAAATAAGTTATATACGTTAAGCTCTTACTTAGCTCACAAGATCTGGTCTAATAAAGTCCGGTCTCAGTCTGTGATGACTGTGTGCTTACATTAACAGGACACATTACAAAAAAAATGTGTGACTGTGTATACAAAATGTATTTTCTTTACTGTCCAACAAAAGTATCAGATTACATCTTGCAGTTGTGATTTTGTTAGTATGATTTACCTAGAGTATATCTATGTGTTTCATCCTGAACTCAGTGGTCCTACACATTTAAGGCATGCTATAATTGAAAAGATTCAAAGATGCTGTTCTTGGAAGTGTAAAAAATAAAGTTAGTAACTAATTATAAGAGAGTCACTAATATCTAAAATGATCTTGATACCATCTGGTTAAGGACTAGCTCAGTAAGAAACAAGCTTGAACTAGGTTATTTATTGCCCTATGTTCTTTACATAGGGACCACAGAAGTCAGACTCTAAGAACGGAAAGTCAAGCAGATTATGCATATATGTTTGTGCATGTATATATGATTAGGCCTACCAGGCAATCCTTCTCATATCTGGGTTTATGAAACGACCTAGATTATAGATATGTTATAAACTGAATACTTGTGTTCTCCACCTCGCCTGCAAATTCATACGTTGAAGCCCTAACATAAAAAGTGATGGGATTTGAAAGTGGGGCCTGTGGGTGGTAATTATGTTATGAGGGTTGAGCCCTCACCAATGGGATTAATGTCCTTAGAAGAAGAGACAGGAAAGTGTTAGGGTTAGGGTTACGGTTAGGGTTAGGGTTAGGGTTAGGCTTAGGGGTTAGGGGTTAGGGTTAGGGTTAGGGTTTTTTTCTCTCTCTCTTTCTGCCAAGTGAGACTAGAGCAAGAAGCAGATCATCTGCAAACCCAAAGATGGCCCTCATCAGGAATTGCATTGGATGGCACCTTGATCTTGGGGTTTCTCAGTCTCCAACTGTAAGAAATAACGTGTTGTTATGCCACCCAGTTTATGGTATTCACCCAAAATGACTATGGTAAGGTAAGGCTCTCCTTCATTCTTCATGGTCTCAGGTAATTACAAAACGAGTTATATGACAAGTAGCATCAGTGCGAACATAATTAAAACACTCTAGTGCACATAAATTACGATGATTACAACTTGAGGAATCTATAACAGAAACCTGGCCAGGCATGGTGGCTCACGCCTGTAATCCCAGAACTTTGGGAGGCCAAGGCAGGTGGATCAATTGAGGTCAGGAATTCGAGACCAGCCTGGCCAACATGGTGAAAACCCGTCTCTACAGAAACTACAAAAATTAGCAGGGTGTGGTGGTGCATGCCTCTAATCTCAGCTACAGAGGAGGCTGAGACAGGAGAATTGCCTGAACGCCGGAGGTGGAGATTGCAGTGAGCCAAGATCGCACTATTGCACTCACTCCAGCCTGGGCAACGGAGCGAGACTCTGTCTCACAAAAAAAAAAAAAATAAATAAAATAAAATAAAAAAAGAAAATAGAAACCTAACTCCAGTTTTCAAGGTGTTTTATATTATCTTGCAGTTGTTTTGGTCCTTAATACAATCAATCCACTGTCGCTAGAACCACACAACTCTCCTTTATCTAGTACTTCAAATTCTAATAATTTCTGTTTATATATTAAGCAATATAAACTCTATATACATACATACAGTCAATGTATCAGGGGAAATACAAAGAGTGATCTTTAGTTTACACTGAATACTTAATTTTATCATTTCTCCATTAACTGTTACAAAGACAAGACTAAACCTACAGTTTGAATTAAACAATATCCAAGCAAACAGAAAAGAGGAAGAAATAGGCAAGCGATGTTTTTCTACTAGTGACTACACTTATCCTTCTTTAGAAAGAAGTAATATTTTCTATCTTTTCCATTTCAGAAATTTGATTTAAAAAAATCTATGTTTCCTACCAAAAATACTCTAAAAATTCTCTGCTAATTACTCTCAAAATACTGCAGATGTATTTCTTTGAAAAAGGAAATACATGCTGGGTGCGGTGGCTCATGTCAGTAATCCCAACACTTTGGGAGGCCGAAGTGGGCGGATCACTTGAGGTCAGAAGTTTGAGACTAGTGTAGCCAACATGGTGAAAGCCTGTCTCTACTAAAAAGAAAAGAAAAAAGTTAGCTAGGCATGCACTTGTAGTCCCAGCTACTAGGGAGGCTGAGGCAGGAGAACTGCTGGAACTTGGGAGGCGGAGGTTGCAGTGAACTGAGGTCACACCACTGCACTCCAACCTGGGTGACAGGGCGAGACTCTGTCTCCAAAAAAAGGAAAGAAAAAAGAAAAAGAAAAAATAAATCACCAGCCAATAAAATATAATATACATTAAAGGAATATGTACCATTTGCCCTCAAGAGTCTAATAAAGGCTTACCTTTTAAGAAGTAATTTTCACTAACAAGAGGCTTGGATATAGATGAATTAAGAACCCAAATACGTGTGGAAGCAAGGAATATACTTGTTTTAAAAATATTATGCCTTGTATGATTAATAAATTATTTATTAAATAATTTATTAATCATGCAAGACATGATTTTATAATTTGTGTCTTCAAAAATTCAATTATCATTTGGCATAACCAAAGTTTAATTACAGACTTGGTGGTGCTTTGAATTAACATAGGATGCTGGTGGTCATCTCCACCTAGTCTCCCCTTTCACCTCTAATCTGTCATTGAAAATGGCATGTATTATTCAAGCTAAACGTTTTCACGAAGGCAAATTGGTATACCAAATGTTACTTTATCATATGTCAAGGTCACTATGTTTCTCTTCTAGGATTTGGTACGTTAAAGCAACTTCATTCTACAACACTTCAGCCATCTATAAAAGCATGGACTTGGTCCCACATCAGATTTAGTTTCAGTGAGAACAGTGGTCCTTATCTTTCTTTAATCATCATTGAATTATAAAACACAGCTGATATGTATTAGTTCTGTGCCACCTTTACACTGTAGGACATCAATTGTACTAAAATCTCAGCATATGTAGACTCCTGCTTGTGTCCCTAAACATTAATATATTGGTACGAATATAGCGAAGAAACATCCTTTCAAAATTATTGCCTGTAAGAAACTGTATATATAAATTTGCTTCCTTTCGAATTGGCCAAGAAGCTTACAGACTTTATTATCTATACAGAAAATGGTTCGGGTCAGATGCTTGAGGCAGCCAAGTTCCCCTTTAACAAGGAAAAGTTGGCAGACTTTCATAGCTACTCCTTGTGAAAAAGATACCTCAAATATGACCTCACGATTGACGGTAGAAGATGATGTTGAAGTTTCAGACTTTTCAGGCACAGGACCCGAGGGGTTAAAAAAAAAAGTATTATTTGAGAGAAAGTTTTTTTTTTAAACAGCTGACATCTGACTGGCTGCCTGGATGTGGTAACCTAGGGGACACAAAAGACGACCTTGACATAGATGTATTAAGGATCGAGCAATTTGAGGTCTGACACAAAGACAATGTGTTCAATACATGCAAAAGGTAAGAACCGTTATCTAAAAAATGTAAAGCCCCTTCTTGTTTATATGAGAAAATACAGGATGAATTTAATGCAACTATAGGGGGGTTTCCCTATTGTAAATAAAGAGAGTATGTTTCTTTGATCTCCAATGAAGAATTGGTTTGGGCAAAAAAGAATGGGCCCTTGGAAGCACTGATCTGGAGCACACGATGGAACAGAAAGGTTCTGCTTTTTTCCTCTCAACTGCCGATGCACATGATGGGGTGAGAAAGATGAGGCCATGGGGAGGTGGCTGTAGCAATCAAACAAGAGTATGAAGATACCCAGATGGGAATAACAATGGTTTCATCTTAACTCAAGAATAAACGTTTAAAATGGCCAACAGATGCCTCTCACTGAAGTACAGCATCCAGGGAGGAGCAGGCCAGAAGTGACTCTGGACAAAGCAGGAAGGAGGTGAATTATAGGACCTGCCCCACAAAAAGGCTGCCCCACAAAAAGAAAAATCACTCAAATGGTATCAAGGACAAGAGGAATGCTGTGTAGCATTCCCTCATATATATTTATTCCCATTTAAAAACTAACTGAAGATAACCCACCACAACAAAGCCCTTTCTAAATGCTATCTTCATGATACCTCTGTGAGGAAGACAGCATAATTCTAATTTTTATTCATAAGCAAGCTAAGGCACAAGTAGAGCCTGAGTGGTAAAAGTGGTCTGCAAATTATCAGGTCTCTGGATTTGTTCACTGTGACATACTTCCTCCACACGGATGCAGGCAACTCAAGAGATGCTGCTATGAAATGTCCTTAGAGGTAGTAGACCTAATAGCTAACCAAAATCGTTCATGACTCTGGAAGACAGCACACTCTCTGCTCACTACTGGAGTCTTGGGAGATGCTGTTAAGAGTACTAGTATGTGCGGTCCTTCTGAATAAGACCAAATCATCCATGATGATAGGAAAAAGGCTGAAGATACAGTCTTCTTGTTTCCCCACACTGTTGAGATTAGAATAGTGGCAATCTTAACAAATTATATCATCCAAGGAACCTCAGTACTTAAACTTTAGTCTTAACTTGTACATTAACATTCTAAGTCCTGTATTTGCTAATGATTTTGATGTTTTTGTCAGATACATTTCCACATTCTTGGTCCCAGATAATTCTCTTTTAACATAGCCAAATTATCTTTATAAAATGTACATGGTGTTAACACCATGGATCTGAAGCAAACAATGCATCTGATTAGCATACATTGGATCTGTATATTTCGAGAATCAATTAAGTACACAAAGGAAGCGTGCAATGTTAAAGAGATGATGTGAATAGTCTTGGTGGTTTATATAACGCGGAATTTGGTGTCCTTCAAGAAACTAAAGATACTCAAAAGTTGCTCCCCATTTCTATTAACGACAATCTAAAAATGAACATTTACATTTGATATAAATATACAAATTTAAATTGTATGCAGTTCAGAATGGCCTACCATTTTTAGATTGTTTATGTGCCAGAAAATATACAGTCAATAAAAAAATACCAGAGAGGTGGGGACAAAAGGCTCTCTGGGTCTGTACAGCAAAAATGAATTATCACTTCAACAGGTAGCAATTTGTGGAGGAAGTGGCATCCTGGGAACCAAGAAGCACTGAAAGATGGCAGGTCACAAATCTGGTGATGGGGGATATGATGTATAGTGAGGCCCGTTTTCCTGTGGAAAGAAAAAAGGACAAGAACATTTAAGTCACAGAACCAATTTAACTGGGAACGTGAAAGAAAGGGATTTACAGTCATTGAGGTAGTGATATAAAATGTCTAGCACATGTCTGGCACCAAGCAGGCCCTCAGTCAGGTAGTTCAACTGGTATCACTCAGGGTATAAGACAGGCAAAGGCAATAGGATGATAATATTGTTTTAAAATATACCGCTCATTGCATATTTTATATGCTAGACATTTTATAGGTGCTTTTAAAAGAGTCCCTTTAAATCTTCACATAATGCCACAAGTAGGTAACATCCTTACTTTACAGAAGAGGAAAGTGAGGATCACACAGATTATAGAATTTGCCTGAAGTTACCTAGTTAGTAACCAGCACAACCTGAATTTAAATCCCAATCTATTTGACTCTAACATCCAGATTCTTTTTTGTTAGACTGAGTTGTCTCACTGTGTGTCAAATCTTAATTTAGAGTTATGAAAGAAAAAGTGATCGCAGAGGAATGTAATAGCTAGAACTATTTTGGCAGAAGTGAGTCTTCATGACGTGCCTTCGTGGCAAGGCTTGTAACAAATGACAGTTCTCAGGAAATTTACTTCAAGAACAAGATGGAGAATTAAATGCCAAACCTTTAAAGTCAATGTAAGGGCAACAAATTACTGTAAGGGAGAATTTTTTGGCCGTTAATTTGGCTAATCTCAATAAAAATCAAGGCAGTTAAGTTTATGATAGAAGGATCCTCGATTAGATTTATGAGACTTAAGATTGGTTTCTCATTTTTAAGGAAAGTATTTCTTTGACAAAGAATTTGGTTTTCAGCAAATCACAAAGAGAAAATGCTTAGCACTAGTACAAGACAATAGTCTGGAACGAAGAATTAGGTAGGAAGAACATAGCATTTCTTCATGGTCCATTTACTTTGCAGCCATTACAGAGCACTAAACCTACGGGGTCTTGGACATGGTAGGTAGTGAAATGGCTTGAGAGACTAAATAAATCAGATACTCGGTCATTCTTCGTCACAAATGCTTTGGAGCAACAATTGGTCTTGGGCCATATCCAGGAAAACAAAAACACATCTAGGAAAACTTACCTTCTGATTATAAACCTAACTATGTATCAAACAAGGTTTAAAAAAAATTAGGTAGAAAAAAATTCTAGAATTTGACTACATTTCTAAAAACTTGAAAAACCTTAATAAAACATATTTTTTTAATTGACAAATGGGACTTAACTAAACTAAAGAGCTTCTGCACAGCAAATCAAATTATCATCAGAGTAAACAGACATCCTATAGGATGGGAGAAAATTTTTGTGATCTATCCATCTGACAAAGGGCTAATATTCAGAATTTATAAGGAACTTAAGCAAATTTTCAAGAATAAAAAAACTGCATTAAAAAGTATGCAAGGATATGAACAGACATTTATCAAAAAAAGACATATATGTGTATTTGTGGCCAAGAAACATGAAAAACAGCTCAACATCACTGATCATTAGAGAAATTCAAAACCATGAGATACCATCTCACGCCAATCAGAATGGCGATTACTTAAAGTCAAGAAATGCTGGAGAGGTTGCAGAGAAATAGGAAGGCTTTCACACTGTTGGTATGAATGTAAATTAGTTCAACCATTGTGGAAAACAGTGTGGTGATTCCTCAAAGATTTAGAACTGGAAATACCATTTGACCCAGCAATCCCATTAGTGAGTATATACCCAAAGGAATAGAAATCATTCTGTTATAAAAATACATGCATGTGTATGTTCACGGAAGCAGTATTCCCAATAACAAAGACATGAATCAACCCAAATGCCCATCAATGATGGATTGGATAAAGAAAATGTGGTACATATACGCCATGGAATACTATGCAGCCATAAAAAGGAATCAGTTGTTATTTGCAGGGACACGGATGAAGCTGGAAGCTGGAAGATTATTCTCAGCAAACGAATGCAGGAACAGAAAACCAAACACCACATGTTCTCACTTATAAGTAGGAGCTGAACAATAAGAACAGAAGGACATAGGGAGGGGAACACTTACTGGGGCCTGTTCAGGGAGGGTTGTGGGGAGAGCATTAAGGAAATAAGTTAATGCATGCTGGGCTTAATACTTAGGTGATGGGTTGGGTTGATAGGTGCAGCAAACCACGATGGCACACGTTTACCTATGTAACAAACCTGCACATCCTGCATACGTACCCTGGAACTTAAAAATAATAAAAGTAAAATAATTATTTAAAAAAATTCCAGGCTGGGCACGATGGCTCAAGCCTGTAATCCCAGCACTTTGGGAGGCCAAGGCGGGTGGATCACGAGGTCAACAGATCGAGACCATCCTGGTCAACATGGTGAAACCCCGTCTCTACTAAAAATTACAAAAAATTAGCTGGGCATGGTGGCGTGTGCCTGTAATCCCAGCTACTCAGGAGGCTGAGGCAGGAGAATTGCCTGAACCCAGGGGGCGGAGGTTGTGGTGAGCTGAGATCACGCCATTGCACTCCAGCCTGGGTAACAAGAGCAAAACTCTGTCTCAAAAAAAAAAAAAATTCCAGGGGACAGGAGGGGTGGCTCACGACTGTAATCCCAGCACTTTGGGAGGCCAAGGCGGGTGGATCATGAGGTCAACAGATCGAGACCATCCTGGTCAACACGGTGAAACCCCGTCTCTACTAAAAATACAAAAAATTAGCTGGGCACGGTGGTGTGTGCCTGTAATCCCAGCTACTCAGGAGGCTGAGGCAGGAGAATTGCCTGAACCCAGGAGGCGGAGGTTGCGGTGAGCCGAGATCGCCCCATTGCACTCCATCCTGGGTAACAAGAGCGAAACTCCATCTCAAAAAAATAAATAAATAAATAAATAAATAAAAATAAAAAAATTCCTATAAAAATGTTTCACTAACCAAATCCTATATTTTGAATATGCATGGAAGCTATACTTACAGAAACATTCCCTGAAGAGATGAATCTATTCTGGGGTTCATCTGAAAAGTTCACCAGCTGCCTTTAAGAATTCTCTATTCTATTCTGTCACCATTTTTCCCCTAAGTTTCTTGTATCTACATTAAATTGTGAGAAACTAAGAAGCGCAAGTTCAATACTTAATGCCATGAAATAGAATTTCCATTATTAATCTCACACTGGGCAAGAGACTGCTGAGCAATCAAATATTTTTTCTATTTCTGGAAACAATCACAGAAATTTAAAGAACTGTTGCCAGGCAAAATTGTATATTCTCTGCTCTGTTAAGACTGCCAATTAGGGAGGATCCAAGATGGTCAAATAGGAACAGCTCCTGAGTGCAGTTCACATCAAGAATAATGCAGAGGGTGAGTGCCCACCGCATTTCCACACATATTTTCACTGCCCACAGACCAAGAGATTCCTGGGCCGAAAAACGCCATGAGTTTTCAGCATGGAGGTTTCAGCCGGTGCTGCATTGGTGCACAGAAACTCACACAAAACTGGGTTGCTGTTTCAACTGGTGCCTGGAACACCTGGGAGACAGAGCTGCCCATTCAATTGAAAGGGAGGGGGCAGAGACAGGAAGCCGGGTGATCTGGCTCAGCGGGTACCACCCCCACAAAACAAACAATCTGAAACGCTCTGGATTGAGAGTTTCACAGCAAGTGCAGCTGGACCCAGGATGGCCCATCTCAGTGGGGGTAAGGGCGACCACCACTACCGAGGCAGTTCACAGAGCAGCTGGGTAGAGCCTGCGGCAGCTCAGCAACACCTCTGCTGGCAGACTGTGACTAGATTACTCCGTGCAGGGTGGGGCATCTATGAAAAAAAGGCAGCAGCATGTCAGGAACTTATAAATAAAGCCCCAACTTCCTAAGACAGAGCACCTGGGAAAAGAGGTGGTTAGGAGTACTGCTGCAGTAGACTTAAAAGTACCTGCCCAGCCGCTCTACATGGAACAACAGGAAGAAACCAGCGCAAAATGGATGAAAACCCCAAAAACTAGAACGCCTCTCCTCCTCCAAAGGATCACAACTCCTCACTAGCTCAGGATCAAAATGGATGGAGAATGAATCTGATGAATTGACAGAAACAGGCTTCAGAAGGTGGGTAATAACAAACTTCTCTGCGCTAAAAGAACATGTGCTAACCCAATGCAAAGAAACTAAGAACCTAGAAAAAAGATTAGATGAGATGCTAACTAGAATAAACAGCTTACAGAAGAATATAAACGACTTGATGGAGCTGAAAAACACAGCACAAGAACTTCATGAAGCATACAGAAGTTTCAGTAGCCAAATCAACCAAGCAGAAGAAAGGATATCAGAGATTGAAGGTCAACTCAATGAAATAAAATGAGAAGGCAAAAATAGAGAAATAATAGAGAAAAAAGAGTGAAAAGAAATGAACAAAGCCTCCAAGAAATATGGGATTATGTGAAAAGACCTAATCTACGTTTGATAGGTGTACCTGAATGTGATGGAGAAAATGAATCCAAGCTGGAAAACACTCTTCAGGATATTATCAAGCAAGACAGGCCAACATTAAAGTCCAGGAAATACAGAGAACACCACAAAGATATTCCTCAAGAAGGACAACCCCAAGGCACATAATTGTCAGATTCACCAGGGTTGAAATGAAGGAAAAAATGCTAAGGGCAGCCAGAGAGAAAGGTCGGGTTACCCACAAAGGGAAGACACACAGCAGATCTCTCTGCAGAAACCCTACAAGCCAGAGTAGAGTGGGGGCCAATATTCAACATCTTTAAAGAAAAGAACTTTTCAACCTAGAATTTCATATCAAGCCAAACTAAGCTTCATAAGTGAAGTAGAAAGAAAATCCTTTATGGACAAGCAATTGCTGAGAGATTTTGTCACCACCAGGCCAGGCTTACAAGAGCTCCTGAAAGAAGCACTAAACAAGGAAAGGAACAACCAGTACCAAACACTCCAAAAATGTACCAAATGGTAAAGACCATCAACACAATAAAAAAAAATGCATCAACTAACAGGCAAAACATCCAGC